AAACAAGCAGGCCTGTCATCCTCCCTCACCTTCAGGCATCTACCTCGGCTTCTTCTTCGGCCTGTCCCACTTCGCGGTCGAGCGAGTCCCCTCCACCGCCACCTGGCTCGAGTCGTCCATGATCGGCACCGTCGACTGGGGAGGCTCCTCCGCCTTTTGCGGCTACGTCTCCGGCTTCCTCAACATCCAGATCGAGCACCACATGGCGCCGCAGATGCCGATGGAGAACCTGCGCCAGATCCGCGCCGACTGCAAGGCGCGCGCAGCGAGCGCCGCGCCGCTGCGCCGAACGGGCGACTGAGGCCCGGTGGTTGTACTGAGGCCCGGTGGTTGTGCTGCGTAGGCGAGCGCGGAGAAGCTCGGGCTTCCCTATCGCGAGCTCTCCTTCGCCGGCGCGGTCAAGCTGATGATGGTCGGCCTCTGGCGCACGGGGAGGGACGAGCTGCAGCTGCGCTCCGACAGGCGCAAGTACTCGCGCACCCAGGCCTACATGGCGGCCGCCTCGGCGGTGGTGGAGAACCTCAAGGCGGACTAGCCGCCTCCGTTTGCCTCAGTCTCCGCAGCCCGCACCCGCAGGGGGGCGCGGATTCTCGCGAGGTTTGCTAGTGAGAGTGGTCTACGAGGGCGGTCCCGGTCGTCCAAGCATGCGACAAGCGCGCCGTGAGAGTATAGAGTACCGATGGCTGCGGTCAGCTGAGAGTCCGCAGCTTTGCGAGCTTGAGAGTCATGTATGGGCGGTCGCGGCAGAATTGTCTCGTTATTTACAGAATAGAAATCACAGCAAAAGTGCCTGAGAGCTGAGTTGTGTCTTTTTCTGTCTGGAGAGAGTCACATCCTATCTAACCGCTAAATCGTCGTTTTTTCACATTAATGTGTCCCACATTTTCACCTCGCTATCGACGATCCGATCGATCGAGAGCGTGCGCGCGGCGCACATGCCTGGCCGCCGACCCTCTCGGCGCCCCTCCTCTCTCGGAGAGCGGCTCGCGACAACCGACATACCGCACCACACCCGCTCGGTGTCTCGGTGTGGACTCAATGGTGGACTCCGACATTTTCGAGTGTGGTCACTGCGGTGCGCGTCCGTGGGTGACTGGTGTGTCTGTGTGTGGACCGTCCAGGACCTCGAGTCCAGGACGCGCTGCGAGCACGAGACTCCTCTCAATGAGACTCTCAGAGAGCCTCTCTGCTCGCACATGCGAGTCACGACGTCTCAGTCAGGGAACAGATAAACGTGATACTGACAGGGTTCGTGATTTCACATGGAAACAGCGAATCGGTTTCACTTTCACTTTCACTTCACATTTCATGTGAAACGAAATTTCACTTTTTCGAGCGAGTGTGAAGAGTCGTGTGAACGCGAATGATGACGGATGCTCCCACCGAGTTCCCGGACACTCTGACACTCACTTGCACAGGTGTTGGCTCCCAAGCAGCAGCCAAGATGAAGGAGGCTGGAGATATTGGTCTCGCTGAGCTGATGTGTACACTAGACCTATATGAATCTCATGGCATGCTGTGGGCGAATACGGTGCTGATGGTGGGATGAACTCTCTCAGCAGTCGAGAGTCGACTCTCGACGCATCGGGAGGGCGGCCGCGGCGGTGTAGGTGCGGCGGCGAGCTCCCGGTTGCAAATACTCGCCTCACAGTCCAAGATGGCGGCTCGCGCCCCCATCCGCGCACCAGCGTGCCACTCTAGCCCCGCCTGCCGCCCAGATACCGAGGGTGGGGCGCACTCTTCGACTTGGGCTATTATTTGCCACCGGGAGGGCGGCGGCGGCGGTGTAGGTGCGGCGGCGAGCTCCCGGTTGCAAATACTCGCCTCACAGTCCAAGATGGCGGCTCGCGCCCCCATCCGCGCACCAGCGTGCCACTCTAGCCCCGCCTGCCGCCCAGATACCGAGGGTGGGGCGCACTCTTCGACTTGGGCTATTATTTGCCACCGGGAGGGCGGCGGCGGCGGTGTAGGTGCGGCGGCGAGCTCCCGGTTGCAAATACTCGCCTCACAGTCCAAGATGGCGGCTCGCGCCCCCATCCGCGCACCAGCGTGCCACTCTAGCCCCGCCTGCCGCCCAGATGGACGGGGCGCACTCTTCGAGACTTGGGCTATTATTTGCCACCGGGAGGGCGGCGGCGGCGGTGTAGGTGCGGCGGCGAGCTCCCGGTTGCAAATACTCGCCTCACAGTCCAAGATGGCGGCTCGCGCCCCCATCCGTGCACCAGCGTGTCTCTCTAGTCCCGCCTGCCGCCCAGATACCGAGGGCGGGGCGCACTCTTCGACTTGGGCTATTATTTGCCACCGGGAGGGCGGCGGCGGCGGTGTAGGTGCGGCGGCGAGCTCCCGGTTGCAAATACTCGCCTCACAGTCCAAGATGGCGGCTCGCGCCCCCATCCGTGCACCAGCGTGCCTCTCTAGTCCCGCCTGCCGCCCAGATACCGAAGGTGGGGCGCACTCTTCGAGACTTGGGCTATTATTTGCCACCGGGAGGGCGGCGGCGGCGGTGTAGGTGCGGCGGCGAGCTCCCGGTTGCAAATACTCGCCTTACAGTCCAAGATGGCGGCTCGCGCCCCCAAGCATCCATGCTCTGATGTGTCGCTTGGGTCGCCTCTGCTGCTGTGTCTCTGTCTTAGCCAGATATCGAGAGCGCGCGACGACAACCAACCCCTTACCCTAACCCTAACCCTAACCCTAACCCTAACCCTAACCCTAACCCTAGCCCGAAGAACCCAAAGCGTTCACCGAGAGCTCGTGTTGACGGACCGCTGATTCCGCCATTTGGTTTCGGCCCAAACCGGACCATTCTCTTAGGAGCTGCACAACGGCTTGAACGCTCTCTGGCCCTAACCCTAACCCTAACCCTAACCCTAACGATGCCAGAGCCTTCGAAATTAGTCGAACTTGTGAAATTTTCAGTGAAACGGGGGCGGCCGAAACGTTTCATGTGAAATTCACATGAATTCACATGTGAAAGTGAAAGTGTGAAAATTCACTCACGAACCCTGGATACTGATGTGAAATGCAAACGGCGCTCTAGAGAGAGTACTGAGAAGATCACACACATATGTGGATGAGATTTCCGGGAGAGTAGCTGGCGTGCCCTGGCGTAGGCTCACTCACGCAGCGGCAGCGTGGACCGCTCCTTGAGCCGGATGACGGCGGGTGCGGGCCGCTGGTCGAGGCTCGGCGCGGTCGGCGGTGGCCCACAGCGGCACGGGTCGAGCTCAAAGGTCGCGCTGTGCTGCTGGTATGGGTTGTACACGCGGCCGCCCGTCTTGCCCGCCGCGTCGCCGCGCACGTAGCCGTTGGGCGCCGAGGAGGCGTAGTAGGCGAGCTCTGCGTCGGCGCGCTCCTGCGCCTCGATGTCGGCGAGCGACGCTGCGCCCTGCCCCGCGTCGAGCAGCCACCGCTTGAAACCGTCGGCGAGGACGTTGTACGCGCGGTGCACCCGCTCGTATCGTGCCTGCAGTCAGCCGCGCGACGCGTGAGGCGCACTCGTCTTCACACTGGCCTCACCAGCGGCGCCGCCGCCGCGCCTGCGCCGCCGTGCGGCCGGCCTCGTCGCCTCTGAACTTGTCCGGGTGGAGCTCCAGCGCCAGCCTGCAGACAGACACGCCGCCCCTCAACAACACACGCCTCCCACCGCCCACGCCTCTGGGGAAGGAGCGTGCGCGCCTGCGGAACGCGGCCTTGACCTCGCCGTAGCTCGCGCTCGCAGGCAAGCCAAGCTCGCCGTACAACTCGCCGCCGGCTGCACCCGCAGGCAGCGCCGCGCTGCCGCCCGGTCGCGCCGCGCCGCCTCCGCCGCCCGCCCGTCCCGCCTGCGCCCCGCCCTCACCGCCCTCGCCGCCGCCGCCGCTGAAATCGCCGGCGAGGGCGCGACGCGCCGCCTCGCACTCAGGGTCGAGCGCCAGCGCTGCGCGGTAGTCCGCCTCCGCCTCCTCGCCGCGCTCGAGCGCCAAATTGCACGCGGCGCGCCGGAGGAGCAGCCGCGTCGACGTGGCGTCGAGCGCGAGCGCAGCCTCCACCTCCTGCAACGCGCGGACCGGCACGCCTGCCCGCAGCCGCGCTTGCGCGCGGTTCCCTCGCAGCACCTACCGCCGACACCGCCTCGAGTCAGCGACCCCCTCCCCAACCCCCTCCCCAACCCCCTCCCCAGCCCCTGGCGGAGGCAGGCGCGCCGGCGTCAGCAGCTCCGCCGCGTCGGCGCGGAGGGCGGCCGAGTAGCTCTCCTATCAACAATGAGTGGTACCTCGATGAACGAAGATCTCTTCTCAGACTACGCGGGGCCGAGCTGCTCCTCCGCGGCGGCGTAGTCGGCCCGGCCGTACGCCTCGTTCCCCTCCCCCTTGAGGCGCAGCGCCGCGCTCAGCCCGCTCAGTGCGGCCGCGAGGTCGGCACAGTCGCCGAGCGAGCGGAAAGCGGCGCCGTCACCGCCGCCGCCGCCGCCGCCGCCGCTGCCGCCGCATGCGCCCCCGCACGGCGCCTCGGTCCCGTCCAATCGTGCGGAGAGGAGGGCGAGCGCTCGCTGCGGCGCGCCGCGGCGGCTGATGCAGCGGGCGAGCGCGAGGGCGGCCGCGTCGTCGCGGGGGTAGGCGGCGGCCGCAGCGGCGGCCTCCTCCTCCGCCTCTGCCAGCCGGCCCGCCCCGAGGAGCGAGGCGACGGCGAGCAGCGGCCCGAGGGGGGAGCAGCCGCACGCCTCTTGCAGAGAGCGCGCGAGCGGGAGCGCCTCGTCGCACCTCCCGCCACCGGCGAGGGCGGCCGCGCGCCCCTCCATCCCCGCCAGCCGCCGCACGCTCGCGGCGCCCTCCTCCGCGATCGAGACCTCGGCGGCGGCCGCCGCGCCGGCGGCAGACTCGCCGGTGGCCTCTGCGCCTCCACCTGCCGGCTGGCCGGCCGCCGCCTCGGCCGGCCGCCGCCTCGCCGCCTCCGCCGCCGCGTCGTAAGCCTCCGCCGCCTCGGCGAGCCGCCCGAGCAGCGTGAGGCTGCGGGCCGCCCGCACGCGCGCCTTGAAGTGCGACGGCGCGAGCGCGATCGCCGCCGCGGCGTGGAGCAGCGCCGCCGCTCCGTCCGGAGGCGTTGCGCCGAGGGAGCAGGCGGCGAGGTTGGAGAGGAGCTGCGCGCGCTCCTCGTCCGGCGGGCTGAGGTCGAGCGCCTGGTCGGGGGGAGGGGGGAGGGGGGGGCGGGGAGGGGAGGGATGAGCAGGACGAGCACGCTCTCTCTCCCGCCCCGCGCGTGCCGCCCAAAGGGGAGGGAGCGGGAGAGGTGCCTTGCCCAAAGGGGAGGGAGCGGGAGAGGTGCCTTGCGGTAGAAGCCCGCGGCGCCGGAGAAGTCGGAGCGGCGGTACGACTGCGCGCCGCACCGGCGGTAGATGGCGACGCGCTCGCTCGCGGGCCGCGCGTCAAAGGCCACGGCGGGAGCAGCGGCCACCTGCTCACGCCACGCTCCGCCTCACCGCATCGGCACCACAAGGCACCACTTGCCGACCACGCTGCTCGCCGAAGGAGGCGCCGCCGCCGCCGCACCGGGCGACGAGGCGCCGCCCGGGGTGCTGCTCGGCCCCGTGTCGACGGGCTGCGGCTGCTCGGCACGCAGAGTGGTGCGCGGCCTGCCTGGGGCGGCGCAGTCTGTGGCGGCACCCCCCGCGGACAAGCCGCGAGTGGTGCCGGCTCCCTATTTGCCACCGTCGGCGACAGCCTTGATCTTGATCCTGCCGGGGTCGACGCCGAGCGACTGGGCGAGGTCCGCCACCAGCGCCGCGTCCAGCTTCTCGCGGTCCTTGGTTGCCGACGCAAAGTCGAGGTCCAGCTTGACCGCGCCGCCAGACTCTCGCTCGTCCGCCGCAGGCAGGCCGACCGCCTCGGTCGAGGCGCACGAGGCCTTCGACACCGCCGCCCAAAAGTCGTCGCCGAGCCCGGCACCCGGTGGCGCCAGAACGACGCCCGGAGCGAGGCTCTGCCCGGCCGGCGCAGCCGCCGCCGGAGGGTCTGCGGTGGTAGGCATCAACTCAGCGAGAAGCACGCCCGCGCCCTTGTGGCGCAAGCCCACTTTGGCCACGCCGGCAACCTTGAGCGCATCGAGGAGCGTGCGCTGGCTCGGCGTCGCATCGCGGCGCAGCTCCTCACGGAGGCCCTCGTGCGAGGCGAGGGTTGCTACGGCCGCATGTAGCTCCGCCTCGTCGATTAGGCCGGCAGCGCGAAGGGCGACTTCCGCTGCTGCTGGGAGTGCGTCGAGGCGCGCGGGCGAGGAAGTGGCTTCAGGCATGGTGCTTGAGGGAGCTTGCTCCTGTTTAGACGGGTCCCACAGACGGGACGGCGAGGGCGCGAGACAGACCACAACGCAAACACGCGCAGGGTTACAACTTTTTTCCGGGGTGTGGTATGGTGTCGCCGAGCCACCTCGAGACCATACCCCCCCGCCTCTTGGAAGACCTGCTTGGGGTATGGTAGGGCTAGCCTTGGGCGGTCAGGACCATACCCCCCCCTTTGGGCCGCCGAGCCCACCATACCATACCCCGGAAACAAAATCTCTCTCTCTCTCTCTACCCCGGAAAAAGTTGGAACCCACAAAAAAGAAATCAAAAAGCATCCACTGGGTGTCACGAGAGCTCACACCTTCTCTCGTGCGAGCAACTCGCCCGCGCTGTCTGCGTCCTCGGAGACAAACGAGTCTGACGAGGAGGAGCTGTTCCTGAGGCCGGAGTCGTCCGCGTGCCCTCCCGCCGACGCCGCGCCCGGCACCGCGGGAGTCCGGGAGCCGGCAGAGGGGAGAGCCGAGGAGAGCTCCTTCTCCCCCGTCGATGGCCCACGCGCTTGCAGCAGGCCCGCCCGCGACCGCCGCGCGCCGCCGCGCCCCCGGCGAGCCGCAAAAGCCAGAGCCGCCGCCAGCGCCAGGGCGAGCACGCCGCCGACGGCCGCCGCGCCCCACAAAGGGAATGGCGCGGCGGGCGGCGAAAGGGCGGACGCCCTCAAGAGGCGCCCGTTTAGCGGCTGGACCATGCGGTTGTTTGCACGGACGCCGCTCGCGGCGCCGAGCGCGGCACGCAGGCGCTCGAGCTGGGCGGCGCAGACGTGGCGGCGCGCCTTGATCAGCCGCCACTCGACGCCCTCGGTGCAGGGAGGGGTGGTGAGAGAGCCCTCCCACTGGTAGGCGCCGCCGCCGCGGAGCAGCAGCTCCGAGAGCATCGCGCCAAAGTCGACGGACGCGGCCGACTCGGCGTAGCGGCGAGCGCCGTCCGAGGGCGGGAAGTCGTCCCAGAAGGCGGAGAGGAGAGGGTCGCACGCGGCTGCCTCGTCGTAGAGCACGGTGATCACGGCGAGGCCACTCTCGCTCGCGTCTCGATGGACAAAGTGCGCCTGAGGTGGCGGGCTCCAGCGGTTGGTGTCTGCTGACAGCGAGAGGCCGGCGAGACGGGTCAACGGCACCTCAAGCGCGGCGTGCCGCCCGTCCACCAGGTGCTCCGACGGCGTGTGCCAGTGGACCTGGTAGAAGTCGTATCTGCGGCCGTGCAGTACTGTGTAGCCCTTGGAAGCAGACCCGTTCTCCACAGGCGCTGTCGCCGGCGTGGCTCCCGCAGGCAGCATGCGGACGGCAGAACCCTGCTCGTGCACCTGAAAACTCCTCCCCGTGTTGACCAGCAGCAGCCGGTCGAGAGGCCGGAGATGCGGAGCCATGGGCTCGACGCCGCCGGCAACGGCGGCCGCGGTTGCGATGTCGATCGGCGACTGTCGCCGCCCGTTGATGCAGGTGGGGTATTGTGCCCAGGTGGTGCGTTGATCATTGCTACTTGCAGCGTCCGCCGGCGCGCGAGCGTACACCCAGTCCATGCGCTCGCCGGCGTGGTCGAGCTCCGGGGTTTACTTTTGCGGCTGGGGCTGGTACCTGGGCTCCAGCTAAACAAAAATTCTTTCCCTGCCGGTCGGGACTATGCCCCACGCCTTTCTGGGCCTCAAAAATAGGGAAAAGAAACCCGGGAAAAGCAAGCTTCGGGTATTTTGGCGTGCGCTCTGTTGCCCGGCATGAACCCGGCTTTCCTCCAGTCTTTTGATCTCCGGGCGACCAGCTCATCCTCGCAGAGCTCCGGCCGCACCTCTCCCGACACCCACGCCGAACTCAAGCGGCGCTCGTCAAGCAGCCTGGACGAGGCGACCGCGCGGCACCGTCGATGGGTGCTGTCGATGCGAGAGAGCTTCGAGAAGCGCGTGAGCCACGCCTCCGAGGGCGACCCAGAGTGGTCAGAGTCTGAGGCGTGCGACGACGAGAGGCCGCCTCCCCGCCCCCAGATGCGGAAGCGAGTTTCAGGGTACGCGTCTTCGCTCTCCACGTCGTCGAGCTCTCCCAGCAGCTCGGCGGCGACGCGCCGAGCGAGCGACGGCGGCGAGGCCAGCGAACCCGAGCGCCGCCTGTCGCTCCGTGAGCCCTTTGACCCTGCCGAGGCGCGCACAGGCCCTGAGGCAGAACCCCGCTCTCCCCCGCCCGGGCCTCACCTCTCCGCTGCGGCGCCCTCGCCTTTCATCTCCTCCCCCCCCCCCCCCTGCAAGGCCTCACTCACGGAGCACACCGAGGAGGTCTCCGACGACTCCGACTCGCAGGCTTCCTGCCCTCGCCTCTTCGCCCTCGCCCCTCCCGCTCCGCCGCGTCGCCACCTGCCCCCTCCCCTTGCACTCCGACTCCGACTCCCACTCTCGACTCTGGACTCTGGACTCTGCCCCGGAGCAGGACGCCGCCGACCCGGAGAGAGGCAACCTGCTCCTCGCTGCGATGGGCCTCGCCGACCCCCCCGCGGGCCTGCCCCCTGCCGGCCTGCCCCCTGCCGGCCTGCACCCCGTAGAGGCGGCAAGACGTAGCAGCCACCTCCCCCCTCTCTTCTCCGAGCCGCTCGCCGCGCCTCTGTTCCGCGCCCGCCGCTATAACCCTAACCCTAACCCGGCTCGAGCTCTGCGAGGGCGAGGGGTGTGTCGCGGCCAGCGCTGCAAAAGGCGCCCTCGCACTCCGCTCCCTCGCCCACCCCTCGCCCACCCCTCGCCCCGGCCTGGTCAGGCCCGCTCCCCTTGGACGGCGTCGCGCTGCCGCTCTCCGAGATGGTTTCCCTCTCTGTCGCGGGGGGCGTGCCGGCAGCGGCGGGGGGCGTGGCGGGGGGTGTGGCGGGGGGCGTGGCGGGGAGAGGGAAGACGCCTCTCTCCGGCAGGAGGCAGGCGGGCGGGCAGGGGCACAGCTGGGCGGGCAGCGCGGGGGGGCGGGAGCGCGACGGTTCCGCCTCCGAGCCGCCCCGGCGTCGCTCGATGCCCGCCGGACCGACGCTGCGGGAGCGGCGCTCGCTGCTGGCCGAGTCGCTCGGCTGGCAGGGCGGGTGAGACACCTCCCGCCCCTCCTCACAGCCCCTCCTCACCCCTCACCACCCGCCCCTCCTCACAGCCGCGCCCCGCCCTCCAGCTGGTTGCCTCCCCTCCTTCCTTTCCTTGCCCACTCTCATCGCCCCCTCCGCCGCACCTGCTGCGACGCACCTGCCTGCTGGCGCACCGACTGTCTGCAGGTGCGAGCAAGCGGTGCGCGAGCAGTGGGCGTCGGCCAAGCTGCCGCCGCTGCTGCACCGCCAGTCGCTGCCTGGCTTGAGGCGCCCCGTGCGGCAAAGGCTCGGCTGAGCGCGGCGGTGCCAGCCTTGGGACCGAGGCGGTCTAGAGATCGCCCCCACGGCCACGCCACCTGGACCTGCAAAGTCGCGCCCGCCAACCCCCTGTGGCCTGTGGCGGTTGCGCCCCGCTGTGGTGCGCCCGGGGGGACCGCGTGCCCGCCGCAATGTTATTTTTGTATTTATCTTGCACCGCAACACAGTGTAGAGAGCCACAACGAGTACACCCAAAAAAAACACCGCGTGGGTCCGGCGCGCCGCGCAGCCGCCGCGGGCCGCGGCGGGCGCGGGCGGCGCGGGCGCGCGAGAACCGAGATCCGTGCCGCCGGGCCGCGCGCCGCGAGAGAGGCGCTGCGGCGGACCCTCGGCCCCGGCCCCGCGCCACGCCATCGCATGGCCCCCGATGCATGCCCCCACACGGGGCTATGGCGCATGCGACGATCCCCCCATGCAATCACGTAGCATATATGCAAGAGGAGCGCGCAGCGCGTCGATCAGCGCGAAAGGAGGCGCTTGGCTAGAGAAACTAAAGGCGGCAGGACGCCCTCTCCCGCTCACTCGGCGGCGAACGACTTGGAGATGTCCCAGACCGTGTCGGCGTGCTCCGTCGTGAAGGCGGTGAGGCGGGCGAACGCAGCGTCGATCTCGCCGTCGTCGATCTCGTCCACGTACTCGCACTGACCGATCCCCGCCGGCAGCGGGGCGCGCAGCAGCCCGTCGCGGTGGACGACAATCTCGTCCCGCGCCTGCAGGTGTGCGGAGCAGAGGCAGGTGCAGAGGAGCAGAGGCAGGTGCAGAGGCAGGTGCGGCGGAGCAGAGGCGGGGAACGAGCCGGTCTCGTGCGCGGCACGGGCAGCCCGCCGCACGCCGCAGGGTTTGTGGGGGGGCTAGGGTGGTGGGGGGGGGGGGGGGTGCCTTCTTGTAGGTTGCGGCCGTGATGCCCGCGATGGAGCACGGCAGGCCAAGCCGCCGGTACAGCGAGAGGAGCGAGTCCGCCTATGGCCGGGTGTGAGGTTAGGGTTAGGGTTAGGGTTAGGGTTAGGGTTAGGGTTAGGGTTAGGAGTCCGCCTATGGCCGGGTGTGAGGTGGGGCAGTGCGAGTGGCTCTCGTCGCAGTCGGAGAGCGAAGGGCGACTCTCTCTCTCTCTCTGCCTGCGCGGAGGGGAGGAGGCCCTTCGCCTCGGCGATCAGCGCGGAGAAGAGCGAGTCGACCGCCACCGCCTCGCCTGCGGTGAGGGCTCCGAGAGGGTTCAGGGAAGGGTCCGGGGAGAGCAGCGTGGAGGGGCCGCGCTCTGCCGTGGCGGAGGAAGAACGACTCGTCTGCCTGGAGGGAGCGGGTTAGGGGGGCCTCGGGCCTTGCTTGGGAAGGAGGCGGGGTGGGGGAGAGAGGGCCCGGAGGGAGCGGGTTAGGGGGGCCTCGGGCCTTGCTTGGGAAGGAGGCGGGGGGAGGGAGGGAGGGCCCGCCTCGAGCGTGCGCGAGAAGGTGTGTCCGTAGTCCATCGGCCGCAGCAGCGCCTCCTCCCACAAGTCGGGGCCGATGCACTCGAGCATCGCCTACACACCTCACAGCGCCACGCGTCGCCCACTCGCGCGAGCCCGGCCGACAACCCCTCCCCCCAAGCTCGCGTCGATCGAGTACTGGATCACGCGCTCCGCCTGCAGGAAGGGTCCGAGAAGGCTCCCCACACGGGCAGAGAAGGGGTTGCTCAGCCAACGCGCCGCGCCTCGGGCGAGCCGCGGAAGTTTGCTGCGATCATCTCCTCGCCGTGGGCGTCGAGTAGCTCGTAGAGGCGCGCGTCGTGGATGATGGCCGCCTGCACGACTCAGCGCGTGGGAGGCTGGTGCACCGCCAAGTGGGAAGGGGGGGCCAGCCGGCGAGAGGCACCTTCATGATCTCGCCGCAGCCCGAGCGGATGTCGGGGCGCGAGACGGTGTCGAGGAAGCTCGTGTCGATGAAGGTGTGCAGCGGCGAGTAGAAGTGGCCCACGCCGTTCTTGCGGTGGTAGTTGATTGCAACCTCGAGCCGAGGTGAGCCGGGGTGAGCCGGGGTGAGCCGGGGTGAGCCGGGGTGAGCCGGGGTTGGATCCGTGGTCACGGGGTGGAAGACGCCTTGATTCCGACGCTCGCGTCGACGATGCCGAGCAGCGTCGTGGGAAGGCGGCACCACGGGATGCCGCGCCGCCAGCAGGCGCACGCGAAGCCGGCGGTGTCGGTAAGGACGCCTGGAGAGCCACGCGCATTCATGACGGCGATCGAGGCCTTTGACAGTGAGCTGTCCCTCCCGTGTCGGCGGAGGACAGAGTCATAGATCATCACGCTCCAGGCGGGGCGCGCCTCCTCCGACGCAGAGGACGGGCTCGAGATGTGGGGAGATAGGGGGAGAGATGGGGAGAGCACGCCTCCTCCGACGCAGAGGACGGGCTCGGAGCGGCGGAGCGGGTCCGCGCGCTTGAGCTCGTCGAGCAGGAAGGTGAAAGTGGCGAGGCTCTTGCGGTCCTCGTTAGCGTGCGCCACGATGAGCTCGAGCTGCAGGTCGACCTGCGGGCGTGCCGCGATGCCTTGTGGGTAACAGAGCACCATCCTTGTTGGTGCAGGTCGGCGAGGGCGTGTCGCGACGACTCATGCATGGGTTGGGTGATCCTCCTTCTCAACGCAGGCGTGGCGGGTGTCTCTGCACCGACTCCGCCCACTCCTCCATCTTCGGGCCGTAGAGCTCCATCACCGCCGAGTCGACCACCTGCGCAGCCGGCGAGGGCCCCGGTCAGGAGCCGCGTCCGCCTCTCGCCCGCCTCCCGCCCGCCTCGCCATGATGAGCCGCCCCGTCGTCAGCTCCAGCTTCTCCTTGAGGAAGAGGTTGCCCCGCGCAAAGAGGTCGGTGTCGGGCCTAGGCGGCAGACGCGGCGACGATCACGGCGGGCGCGTACGCGCGTGGAGCGCCCACCGCGCGGAGCCGCGTCGCGCCAGATCTGCTGCCGCACGCGCCCGTCGAAGGTCTCCCACTTTGGGCGCAGCAGCTCCTCGGACACGACGGCGCCGCCGCCTCCAAACACGCTCTCCGCCCGCGCGGCCGGGCCGTCGAGCAGCTCGTGGACCACCACCTACCGCGCAGGCACGGCCTCGGATCCCCTCCGGCCGCCATCCTCTCCCGTCGCGCTCCGCCGCCGCCTCTGCGATCTTTGGCCCGTGCCTCGCGCCGCCGCCTCGCGAGGCACCGCCTCGCCCCGTCGCGAGCAGCCGGAGGGTGCGGCGGCGGTCCGTCGAGTCGCGGAGCGAGAGGAGGACGGACGCGCCGTCCGAGTCCACCTCGATCGTCCCGACCTCGTTGTCGGCGAACAGCGCCGTCAGCAGCCGCTTCACCTCGCCCTGCCCGCTCGCACGCCGGCCCTCTGCGGGCACGTCAACGGCTCCGTCGTACTCGAAGTGGGTCACGAGCTCGTCGACGCGGCGACGGTCGTCGGCAGCGCGCTGGAGCCCGGCGCGCAGGATGCCGGCCAGCAGCTGGGGCTGCCCGGCACCGGGTGGCTCATCCGGGCTTGCAGGAGCAACGACTTCATCCGCCAGCACGACGGCACGGACGGCGGCTATTCGGCGAGCCGAGGGCGGTGGCCCGCCGCAGGGAGGGTGCGCGGCGCTGGTGCCGGCGATAAAGGCCCGGGTCTGAGGCAGCAAAAGACCCAGGGCGAGCAGCCTGAAGAAGCTCCCGGGGCCGTCGAACATGGCGAGCAGCCTGAAGAAGCCCCCGGTGCCGTGGAACATTTGCAGGTCCAAATTAAGAAAAACGCCCGCGGGCACGCGCAAAAAGCAATGGGGTCTAGATTTGGAGCGCTCGCCGAAGAGGAGTACGACAAAATAGCGCCCGTGATTGCCTGCACGCTACCCGCACTCACGGACTCCATACCCGAAAGAAAGAGAGAGGAGCTAGCAGGAGAGGTGACGAGTGAACTACAGGTAGTGGCAAGTGGGGAAGGCAGCCTCGATCGCCATACAGACATGGGTGCGAAACAACGACAAGACCAAGGCACGGGCAGAGGAGAGAGAAGAATATAGGATGGATAAAGCGCGTAAGCGCCTGTTCACGGCATGCATGGTCCATGGATGGAGGGTGAGCCACGATGAACGTAATGAACGTAGAGCCGAACGCCGAACGGGAGGAAGCCGAGGAAGAAGAACCAGAGGAGGGCGACACACCTGTGGTAATCCCGTCGTCAGCTGTAACGATGCACCCGAAGGGGACCCCAGCGCCAACAAGCAACATCATCGCGGTGGAGGTACAAGTCTAGGTACAAGTGTTCGAAGAGAGAGTGGACCTGAGCAACGATATGACTGGGTGGCAAATGATAGCAGTGGGCGTCAGAAGAGTCGTCCTTGCGCGAGGAGAGCTCGATAAACTCGAGGGGCCAAAAAATATGCCGCGCGAGGAGGGCAGAGTTGCGCCGAAAGGCGGGAGAAGCCGCGAGAGCAAGCTAGGGATAGGCAGGCGGCGGCGGCGTCGCAGGACGAGGCAGACGAGAGCGACACGCGACAGAGGAGGAAACGACAGGAGGGAGAACGACGAGAGTGGGACGACCGCGAGGTGGCATGAAGGTTGCAGCGAGAATCGGCGAGAGACTGCGAGGAGAGATAGGAAGAGGCGGACGCCCAAGGGTGGGCGACGGCTAGCGCATCACACTCCTCTCCTTAAAATCCCTGTGTGGTGGCGGCGTGCCGTCCTCCCATCCCTCCCTTGGGTTGTCTTGGAGCACTTGGAGGGCTATTTCTTTCTTCTTTTTCCCCACTCCCGTTCCCCTGTGTCCCTGATCGTCCTTACAAGATCCTGCTCGTGCAGGTGGGGACTTCTCCCGCCCCTTGTTTGGTGTGTCCGTTTTGTTTATTTATTAAAGCCGCCGAAAGGAAGAGTCGGAAGACGAATCGATCGGAAGACGAACGGAGGACGACGCGCCAGTGGTAATCCGTCGTCCTGTCACGATATACCCGAAGGGAACCCCAGCGCCAACATCGACCCTAGCACCGACCGTGGTGCGTTGAGAGGTACAACGTACAAGTGCTGGAAACTTGGAGCACTTGGAGTGCAGTCATCAGCCTCACATCCAGGGCCGGGGAGCTAAGAAGCGCACCCAGCGGGCCGGATGATCGCTTGATCGGTATCGGGTTGCGGGCAAGAGAGCGAAACGAGAGTGGACCTGAGCAACGACATGACTTGGCGATCGGAGTGGGAGTCAGAAATGTGGTCCTTGCGCGAGGAGAGCTCGAACTCACTCACTCGAGGGGCCAAATTACGCTGGTCGCTGCGAGGAAGGAGAGCGGAGTTTCGAGTTACGCCGAGAGGCGAGAGAACGGCCGAGCGAGAGCAAGGGATCGGCAGGCAGGCAGCGCCGGCGTCGCAGAACGAGGCCGAGGAGAGCGATGAGTCAGAGGATGAAATGGCAGGAGAGAGAATGACGAGAGTGAGAAGACCGCGTCCGCGAGGCGGCATACCCGGGTACGTGTTTATTTGTGTACTCCCTTAATGTAGGTAAACCATAAAAGTAGATTTGAATTCGTCCACGTACGGCTTCGTGAGTGGTTGGGGTGGCCTCAAGCATCCCCAAGGGAGCCTCTGCGGTGCCACATAAGCAGCTTGGTGATTGTCGAGACTTTGAAGGATTCGTTTGAAGAAACGCAAACAGGCCAGACACTACTATGGTCACCAGTAAACCATAATTCGACTTTGAGGGATCATATCTCAAAAAGCCGGGAGATAACAGAGCATTATTGTTGCATATTATACCACATAAGGTCAAACTTGACCCCACAAGCATCAAGAACCCGATGCTCCAGCTCGACTGTGCCGGCACACTGCCTCCTCGCGCACGCTGCCAGCAGCCGTCGCAGCCCGTGGTGCACCAGAGAGAGAGGTCGACGCGTTGCCCCCGCCGGCGACCCCGCGCGGCTCAGGCCGGCCAGAAGGTGTCTGGTGACGGCGCCGTGGCAGGAGTGCGGAGAAGAGCTCGCCGAACGCGAGCAGAAGATGTCCAAAGTGTGCCAGCGCGAGAGCCTCGCGAGCGGGCGCAGAAGGAGCTCGCCGTGACACGATGCCGGGCGGTGGTGGTGCTCTGGCGACTGTGCACAGTGGGAAAAGTCAGGCTGCAACAGGGCAGCACGATGGTAGTACCCTGCTGCAGCCTGGCCTGACATGCACAGGGCGAACAGAGACACTACTATCGTCCGGCGCTCGTCGTCGAATCTGGGCCAACTTCGACCGCCGCCACAGCTCGCCACGAGCACGCAGCGACAAAATGTTGACTGTACGGAAGTTGAGGCTGGTCGAGAGGAAGAGGCTGCCGTGCGAGCCGGCAGCAGGCTGGCTCGTCGTGGACTGCAGCGGCGACTTTTATGGGTTTCTCTGTTCATAGTAGCGTGCACGCTACTATGGTTTACCCACATTAAGGGAGTATGAAGGTCGCTTTTCGAGAATTGGGGGATTTGTTTTGTTTTGTAGAATTGGGGAGAGATTTTTTGCATTTTTTGAAAACCAACAAGTCACGACTCTCACAGTGATTTGGGCTCGGCAGCTGTCAGCCCTCAGCCGAAGCTGGGGCCGGTCCCAGAAAGAAAGAAAGAAAACAGACAACCCCAAACGAGGAGGAAAGGGTCCACACCTGCACGAGCAGGATTTTGGAAGGACGATCAGGGGCACAGGTGGGGCTCTCCTGCTCCTGACAAGGGACACGACAGGCTCGCAGCGCGGTGCACGGTGGGCTCCCAACTCCACTGGCGGTCTCATCTCAGTCTAGCGACCTGCCTCCAGCTTCTCACTGGCAGTCTCTCGCAACCACAAGGCACACTGACACAGGGGTGGTCCCGTAGCCGAGAGAGCCCGCGCTGTTGAGTTCGACGCGGTCGGGGGGCCTTGCGGAGAGGCCAGCGAGATGGCGATCGCTGTACTTGATGGGGGTCATCAAGTGACCGCGGCTGACTCGCCAGAGGTCGATACTCTGGACGACCCATAGGATGCCACGAATGCCTGAAGGAGACGGAGGCGAGGCCCCCAGAGGCAGACTCAGCTGCTCTCGGGTGATCTCGCTTTGGTGGCCGAAGGACCCGATGGTCCTGTCACATTCGCGTTCCGATTCGTGGGGGTAGAAGATTGCGGGGGGGCATCGAGTCAACACTTCCTTGTAGTCCAGCGGACCGCCAGGCTCGCCGGCAGCATCCGCAGGGAGGCAGCATATCAGGCACCAGTCTTCTGGAGCGCTCAACAGCTGCAGCCGCGATGGCAGAGTCGGCCGCGGTTCGAGCGAGCAGCTTTTGGCTGCGGGATCGAATCGCGGAAGGCTCATGCCCTCGCGGAGCGACGCGGGTCGCGCGGCGCGCTCGTGTGCGAAATGCGACAACAGTCGACAGACGACAGACGCCTGAGCGCTGAACGACTGAACGACCGTCGCCGCAATCGACACCGCCGCCATTTTGACGAGCAGCGCGAGCGCGCGTCGGCGGCCAGCCGTCGCGGGCCGGGCCGAGCCCGGCCTCAACAGGCCGCGCCGCCGCAGCAGGCCCGGAGGCCCACATGGCGGCCGACCAGTTGATAAGGATTCTCCCTCTGAATTGGCGAGAGACTGCAATGAGAGATAGGAAGAGGTAGACACCCGAGGGTTTTAGGTATGTTGTTGGCAAATCAAGACACAGAGGGGTGACGGCTAGCACCACACTCCTCTCCTTTAATTCCCTGTGTGGTGAAAAAAGAGAGGGATGGGAAGGCCTGCCTTGCCCCCTTTTTCTTTTCTCGCTGGCTGCCGAGCCACTAAATGTTCGGCGTGTTCGCCGCTGCCAGGTCTCTCGTCGCGCCGAAGGCCACGGCGCCGCTCGCAGCGCTGGCGCAGCCGCCGCTCGGCGGACTGCAAGCGGCGTTCGCGCGGAGGTGGATGAAGGTGAAGTCGTCTGTACGCCGGCGCTGCGAGGACTGCTACATCGTGCGGCGCGGCAAGATCAACTACAACTACTGCCGAACGCATGGCCGCCACAAGCACCGGCAGGGGCCCAAGAGGAAGGCCGCCCGGAAATAGACTGGCGGCAATCTATCGATCCCGATTTTATCATGCCGCGCTGACGTAAACTGCACCCCGTTTGTGGAGCTGCTGAGTGCTGAAAGGCTCGGCCGTGCGATAAATAACAAAAAGTAATATATCTTTACTTCCGTGCGATAAATAACAAACACGTTGACCCCCCAAACATGATCCGTCTCTCACACAAAGCCCGCATCTGCTCCACTCCGAGTCCAAAACTCTCGACGCGTGTGCGGGGACTCTGCGCGCCGGCGCACTTGGACTTGCCACTTGCGCCGCTCTCGGCCGGCGGCGCGCGCCCCCGGCACTACCACTAGCCACTACTTCAGAAGCCCCACTGCCAGCAGCCCCCCCGCCGCCGCCAGCCGGGCGGGGAGCGGCCACGCGAGCACGGCGGGAAGCACGGCGCTCAGCGCCGCCTTGACTGCGAGCGCCGCGGCGGAGGCAAGGGCGAGGCCGGCGAGGGCGAGGGCGGTGCCGCCGACGCGCACTGCCGTCTGGTGCGCCTCGAGGAGGTCGGATCGGAAGGCGCGTCGGTCGGGCCTCACGCCCGCGAGGAGCTGCCCCCACGAGCCCGACCCCGCGCCCGGCTCGGCGGAGCGCATCGCGGTCAGCGTCGCTCGCGCGGCGTTCGGCGTCCGGAGACAGTCGACGCAGAGGTCGGCGATGGCGCCCGGCGGGATCGGCGTCACCTTCAGGTCGCCGCCGTTGTCGGCCAGGGCGAGCGAGCTCGGAGGCAGCTCCGCCCTCGCCGACATCACACCCGGCCGCACGATGGTGTAGTCCACGCTGCAAGCACGCATCAGGCGCTCGCCCTCGTAGTTCCACGCCTTTGCCATCCCGCCGAGGCCGTTGAGCAAGATGGAAAAGAACGACCACGGCGTCTCGCCCTTCCCGGTAATGCGCACGACCCGCTTGCACGTGCCGCTACCGGCGGCAGCCGCGAGGAGCGACTTCATCCCCTCGTAGTTGACATTCTTGGCGTGGGCCGGGTCGTGCGTCGGGTCGCGCCAAAAGTCGGACAGCTTGCGTGTGCGTCGAGCGCCGTGCGCCGCGATCACCGCGTCACAGCCGACGAGGAGGTCCCGCAGCGATGCGGGGTCGTTGATGTCGCCGCGGACGGCCTCGACGCCCGGAAGCCCGACTAGGTACGAGGCGACAGCCGACGAATCCGCGTCCGCCGCCGGCGGGACGGCGCTGCCAGAGGTCACCTCGTGCCTGAGTAATATCCGGGCGCAGTCTCCGTCAGCAACCAGGCGCTGGACGGCTGCACGGCCGACGTTTCCTGTGGCACCCGTGACCGCCACGGTGAGCGACGCCGCTGGCGAAAAACATGCAAGGAGTGCAAGCAGAGCGAGGGGAAGGCTCGGCGGCGACATCGTGTGTATGCACTGCCACGTCACACTTGGGCCGCGAGTGAGTTGATCGCTTGACACACGGGCCGGAGAAACTGGGTCTCACCGCCTCCTACCCGTACTCGCCGTCCTACTCGCCTCCTTCTCGCCTCCTACTCGCCTCCTACTCGCCCTAGCACTCACCTCCTACTCGCCTCCTACTCGCCCTCCTACTCGCCTCCTACTCGCCTCCTACTCGCCCCCTACTCGCTTCCTACTCGCCTCCTACACTCCTACTCGCCCGCCCCCCTACTCGGTACTCGCCCCTCGCCCCCCTACTGCTACTCGCCTCTTGGAGCAGAGCCCGGCGAGCCCTCGAGGCAGGTCTCTTGGAGCAGAGCCCGGCGAGCAACCGCCAACCCAATCTCCCAATGGGTCCCTCGGAGGGGTACCCTGGGTGGGCGGGGCCTCTACTCGCCAGGACTGAAGTGTGAAGAGTGAAGTGGAGACAGTCACCGCCACAAAAGAATTCGCGCCCCCGCCTTGTGGCACAACCTGTGTGTGCGCGTGGGCCGTGGGCGCTGGGCCGTGTGCGGGCCGTGGCGGTTTGTGGATTGTGCAAAAAAAGAAAGAAGATTTTGGGTCGTGGCGTGGCCGCGTGCGTCACACTGATCGTGTCTTCCCCGAGAACCCCCGTGTGAGTGTCTACCCCCCCCCCCCCCCCGCCCCCTCTCAACGTCCCCATGAACAGAGCACGCCCCCCGAGGCGCGGCAAGTTTGGAGACCGCGGCACGGCGAGGACGTTGCGAGAGAGGCCACCCCGTTGTGTCCGGGCTGCCCGCCCGGCGGAGCGACAACCTCGCCCGCGCGTACGCCGCGGCTCCTCCACTGCCCGCGCGCGTGGCCCGAGGGCGACTAGACTAGGGCACTAGAAGAGCAGCGACTGCGGCTCCTCCTCGATGATGCGCGCCAGGTCCTTGAGGAACTTGGCCGCGTCGGCGCCGTAGATGTTGCGGTGGTCGCACGTGATGGTCACCGTCATCACCTTTGCCATGCCCATCATGCCGTTCTTCTGCAGCACCGCCGTCGGCGCCGAGGCGGCCACCGCGAGGATGGCGCCCGTGTTCGGCGGCAGGATGGACACGAACTGCGAGACGCCGAACATGCCCAGATTGGAGATTGTGAAGGTGCCCGTCGAGAACTCGTCGGCCGACAGCTTCCCTGTGCGAGGGCTCGGCGGCGGGTCGGAGGAGTCAGAGAAGGGTCGGACAAGGCGTCGGCGGAGAGCGCGCGCCCTCCATCGCGCGCGGGACCAGGTCCTTCCACGCGCGGCCGAGCGAGTAGATGTCGGTCGTGTCGGCATTCTTGAGCACCGGCGTGATGAGCCCGCCGTCGGGCATCGCCACCGCCATCGCCACGTTGATGTCCGAGTTGTAGCTGATTCCGTCCTCGACGTAGTTCGAGTTCATGATCGGGTGCTTGGCGAGCGCGAGGCCGACCGCCTTGGCGAGCATCGCAGAGACGGTGACGCCCTTGGGCTTGAGCTGCGCGTACAGCGCGTCGAAGTCGTCCGTCACGATCTGCCGCGAGACCGTGTACGTCGGCACACTGTCGGCCCACGCCATGTTCTTGACTACCGCCTTCTGCATGCCCGTCATCGGGACCACGCCGGCGGGCGCGGGCGCGGCGGGCGCGGCGGAGCTCGCCTTGGCCGCCGGCGCGGCCGCCGCGCCCGCGGCGGCGGGCGACGCCGCCGCCTTCTCCACATCCTCGGCGACGATGCGTCCGTCCGGGCCGGTGCCGACCACAGTCGAGAGGTCGACGCCCTTCGACTCGGCGAGCGAGCGGGCGAAGGGCGACGCGACGACGCGGCCGCCGGCGGGGGCGGCGGCGGGGGCGGCGGCGGGTGCGGCGGCGGCGGGGGCGGCGGCGGGCGCGGGCACGGGCGCCGCCTTCGGTGCCTCGCCCGCAGCGACGAGGACGTCGTCGACGGTGACGCGCCCGAAGTTGCCCGAGCCAGGGATCTGCTCCCACTTGAGGCCCTTGGACTTGGCGAGCTTCTTGGCGGCGGGGGTCGCCATCTTGTTGGCCGACGTGTAGCCCGAGCCGGAGCCGACCGTGACGGCGGGCGCGGGCGCGGCGGGCGCGGCAGCGGCCTGCGCCGGCGCGGCGGCGACGGCACCACCGCCCGACGCGGCGACAGCGGCGATCTCGTCCTCTGTGCGGGCGAGCAGCGCGACGGGCGCGCCGACGGTGGCGACCTGGCGAGGCGGAAGGGAGGGGAGGGGGTTGGTGGCTGCAAGCTGCGCGCGCCGAGGGCGCCGTGGGGACTGCAGCAGCGGCGGGGAGTGCAAGCGGTGTGGAGAGCAGCAGAGGCGGAGGACGGCGGCGGCCACGGAGGCTCGCCTCGCCCTCGCCGACGAGGATCTTTGCGACGTAGCCGTCCTCAAAGGACTCGACGTCCATGTCCGCCTGCGGAGGCGCGGGGCGCGCGGCTCATTGCGGGCGGGCGGCGGTGATGCCTTGGAGCAGATGCGGCGGCGGCGGGAGGGGAGACTAGGAGAGGGCAGAGTCTGGGAGCGGGCAGTCTGGGAGAGGGCAGAGGATGGGAGCGGGGAGAGGCTGGGAGAGGGGCGAGTCTGGGAGAGGGGAGAGGCTGGGAGAGGGGAGAGTCTGGGAGAGGGGAGAGTCTGGGAGAGGGCAGAGTCTGGGAGAGGCTCGCCTTGTCGGACTCGACGACGAGAAGCATGTCGCCCGCGTCCACCTTGTCGCCCACGCCCACCAGCCAGCTCGATATCTTGCCCTCCTTCATCGTCGACGACAGCGCCGGCATCATCACCGGAATCGCGTCGACGTCGGAAGCGGGCGCGGCGGCGGGCGCGGCGGCGGCGGGCGCGGCGGCGGCGGGCGCGGCGGCAGCTGCGGGTGCGCCGCTGCCCACCGAGACCGAGGCGATGTCCGCCTTGAGGTGGGGGGGGAGTGGGCACGGTGGGCGACGGGACGAGTGGGGTGGGGGTGGGGCGGGGTGGGGCGGGATGTGGCCAGGGGTCAGTCGGCCGTCTCCCGGGCCGCACGCACCTCGTTCTCGACGATGATTGCGACCGGCGCACCAACGTCGGCCGTCTGTCGGGACACGGCGCCGGCTCAAGCACAGCGGGCTGCGGCGGCGGCGGCGGCGGAGGCTCCGGATGCTGCGCGGCGGCTGCGGCGGCAGCGGCGGCGGCAGCAGTGGCGGTGGCGGTGGCGGCGGCGGCGGCGGTGGCAGAACCGGCGGCGCGCAGCGCGAGACCGGCGGAGAAGAGGGGATGAGCGCATGCGTGCAGGTGAGGATGGCGCATTGGGCCGTGGATGAGCGCTCGCCTCGCCCTCGCCGACGAGGATCTTTGCAATGTAGCCCTCCTCATACGACTCGACGTCCATGTCGGCCTTGTCAGACTCGACGACGAGCACCATGTCTCCCGCGTCCACCTTGTCGCCCACACCCATCAGCCAGCTCGAAATCTTGCCCTCGGTCATCGTCGACGACAGCGCGGGCATCGTGATTGTCGACTGCTTCACCTCCATGCCAGGAGGCGGAGCTCGCCGCACAACGAGATCGGCGCTCGAGCGGGCGAAGCCGCCAAAGGGCAGGCCTGCGACGGAGCGCGCACCTGGCGCACACTGCAGGCCCAGCGGCACGCTACAGGCCAGCGAGAAGAGCATGCCTGGAGACCACGGGAGGGGAGAGCCGCGAGCAGGCCACTGAGATCGAAGCCGTGCGATTCCACCGAATTTTTCTTTGGGGACGCAGCATCAGACTAAGAAAGCAGCCAACGCTAACCCACTGTGAATTTGTGTGAGCTCTGTGTCCAGTTTAGCAAAAGAAAGCACGCCGTGCGCTGAAACCCGAGGACTATACTCGACTATACACACGCACATAAACGTGTGTATGTGTATGCCGCGTTTCCTCGTCCTGCTGCTTGCGTGCGCGACCGCCGCCTGCCACGCCTCTCGCCTCTTTGCGCGCGGCGCGGCGCAGCGCTCGCAGGAGCAGCCGGCGGAGCCGGCTCTCGTGCGGCCGGCCGTGATTTCCGCCTCGCACAACCTCACCGGCTACGCGCCCGAGCGGGCCGCCGACGGCGATGCGTCCACGTATTGGCTGGTGCCGGGCGGCGAGCGGATGGAGCGCATGTCGCACGACAAGTGGCTGGTGCTCGACCTCGGCCGCGCAGCCGCGCCACGGGCGCTCTCCCTCCTCGGCACCGCCTCCACCGTCGGCGGCGCACGCGTCACCCTCCAGAGAGCCGCGTCGCCGCGAGGGCCGTGGCGGACGGTGGCGCACGTGCGCGGGCTGCGCGGGCTGCGCGCGCCAACACGGCAGCCTCTGCCGGCGGACCTCTCGCCCTCGCGCTACTTCCGCCTCTACATGCGGCGGGAGGGCCACGCCAGCTTTCGGCACGCCATTCACGACGTGTGCTTCGAGTGCGAGGAGGACGCGGCGTAGAACAAAAGTGCGGCATCTTATAATACTTATGATGAAGCGAAAACCCGTATATGCGTAACCGACTCGGTTAAAAAACGCGCACAATTTACCCGCCCCGGCCGGATCCCGCTCACGTCGGATCGATGTGCGAGTGTCATCGCGCGTACTCGCTGGCGCCCTGCTGTTGCTGTGCCTTTTCCCGGTTGCGCGCAGCGTCCCACCTGTACGGTGCTCCTGTTGCGCCAGTGACCTCGCTCGCCGCAATGCCGAATGCGACCACGCCGCCGTAGAGCAGGGCCAGAGTGCCGCCGCTGCGGGCGAGTCCGGCGGCATTGGGGCAGCCTCGCGCGCCACCGATGAACCCGATGCGCTCCATCAGGCGGCGCGCGCGCGGCAGGAGGAGCACGGTGACTATGCCCGCCGTCCAAGAGCACGCGGAGAACATCTGCACCGTCGGTGGCAGCGCCGCCCACACCTCGGTCGTCGCGAGTGCAGGCAGGATGGCGGCGCGGTTGAGCTCCTGCACGCAAAACATCGGCAGCAGCACCGTGGCCGCCACCTTCCACGACGGCGGCGGTGGGAGGGGCTGCTCGGCGGTGCCGCTGCCGTCGGCGGGCAACCAGCCGCCCAAACTGCCGTCATCACGCTGCAGCGTGATCTTCTCGGCGTCGACTAGCAGCGACGCGCCGTCCCTCGCGAGCCCGGCGCCGCGATCCAGCCAGGCCTGGCGCTCCGTGGACGACCGCCAGAGGTGGAGGTCGTCGTTGCGCGTGAACACAATGGCTACTGTGCTCGGCGCGCTCACATCCCCCGATGGGATATGGATCCACTGGTAGCAGGAGCGGCTGTGGCAGGAGGCCTCGCCGATGATGGCGCTGGTCGGCACCGAGTCGGCTGGCCGCCGGGATCGCAGACTCTTCTCGAGGAGGGCACGGCCCTCACAGAGCCACCGCTCGAGCTGCTCGGCGGAGCACTCGGTCCTCGGCCGGAGCTGTACGGCGCATATGGCTGGTCTGGCGCGCCTGCCGCTCGACGACGAGAATCTGGATCGTGCCGCAGGCCTCGCCAACGTCTTCGACCGAAGCCACATCCTGTGCGGTCCTGGGCCGGCTCCTAGCCGGATAGGGGGTCTGTGCCACTGGCTGGCCCAGGGGGCCCCTCCCAGCGAGATAGGTAGGTAGGTTGGTCTTGTTTCGCCCAAAAGGGCCCTGCAATAGGTAGGTACTATTTTTTTTATCTTTTTCGCTTCGCTGCGCGGCCTGGGGATAGGTAGGTAGGTAGGGCGTTTTGGCGCGAGTCAGTGGCAACAGACCCCCTATCCGGCTAGGAGCCGGAACCCTGGGCGGGCCCCGGGAGCGTGAAGGTGGAAACTTTTTCTTCTTTCGGGCAACGAAAGACGCGCAGGAGTCCCTATCGTTTGTCTGACGCTGTGTTTGTGTGTATATACGTACTCTGCAAAAGTGCTCCAAGTTCATGTAGGACCAAAACAAGTCATCTTTCCTAGTTCCTACTCTACTCTTCCAGTGGGTCTGTCGTGCGTACTGTACTCTGGCTGCTCCCCGAGTCTCTCTCTCTCTCTCTCTCTCTCTCTCTCTCTCTCTCTCTCTCAGACAATGATCGTATCCTCTCCTCGCCGCTGCGCCGGCACCGCCATCGCGCGGTGCGCTCGCTGCTGCTCGAGCGCCGCCAGCCTGTCCTCGCTTTGGACGAGCCGGTCGTGCGCCTGCAGCAGCCGCGCCACCGCCTCCTCCTGCGAGTGGCCCGCGTCCGCAGTCTCGTCCTCGTACAGCCTGCGCATCGCATAGCTCCGCCAACGCGACTGCAGCAGCGAGACGAGGTAGTTTGTGAGCGCCGAGTGCGTCGGCTTCTCGATCTTCGAGAGCACCTACCGTGTGGCCGACCGCAGCCCCTCACAGCACCGCGCCCTCGGGGCCGCTGCCCCTCGCGCGCAGCGGAGGGCGCCGGCATGCGGGTGAGCTTCCGCCGCACCACCGTCGTCGCCTCGCACACGGGCACCTCGATGCGTTGCAGCCGGACGCCGTCGTCCTCGAGGCCGCGCTCCTACGGGCACGCGGTCCGCCGCTCAGGGCCGCCTCCGCCGCAGCCCGATCGCCCGTTGGGGGCCGCCGCTGCCTGCCGGCGGGCGAGCCGCTCGTGGTTGAGCCGCTCGCAAAAGGCGCGCTGCGAGAGGGCGGTCAGCGTCTCGTTGAAGTGGATGTAGCCGCCGTGGTCCGGGATGTTGAGCTCGGCGAGCAGCGCGAGCAGGTCGGCGCGCGAGCGGGTGCGGTCTCCCACGCCGAGCGGCTGCGGCAGCTGCTGCAGGATGGCGAGCAGGTTCTGCGACGACACGACGAAGGAGCCCTTCTCGTCGTACCGCAGCCAGACCGTGCGGAAGGCCTCGATGTCGCGCAGGGTGACGTCGCTGTTGTCGGAGCCGATGTTTGTAAAGTTGTCGACGATCACCCCGATGAAGAGCCCGTTCAGGATGACGTACCCCAGCAGCACGTAGTAGAGGAAGAAGAGGCTCACGGCGAGGAGCGTCTCGAGGACGCCTGTGCTCGCGCCCCACCCGGCGCCGCACGACGAGAGCACGACGGGCTCCCCGCCCTCGTAGTCGACGACGGGGCCGCACGTGGGGCAGCAGCGCAGCATGTTGTCGCCCCAGTCGGGGGGGAAGAGGTCGTGCATGATCAGGTTGAACGACTCGCCTGCCGGCGGCGAGGAGCGGTGAAGTGGCGCTCTTCACAGGTCGCGCCTCCTGCGGCGAGAGGGCTCGCCCGTGGCGCAACGGAAGAGGGTGAGGAAGGCGATGGACAGGCTCTGGAAGTTTGCGTGCCGGTTGAGCGACTCGCCCCAGTTCGAGTCGGCGGAGCTGAAATAGTAGGGCGCCTCGTCTGCGGCGCACACCTCGCCGTTGACTTGCCGGAAGTAGGAGCACGGCAGATTCTGTGGCAGCGCCTCCCGGACGTCGGCGTTGAAGGCAACGGGCGCGCCTGCGATGGGAAGGCGCTCGGAGTCAGCCGGTGCGCCCGCTGTGCCGGGCCGGGCGAGAGTGCCAGGGCCGGCGAGAGTGCCAGCGCCTGAGGCTTTGTTGTCAAAAGAGGTGTCGCACGGCTCGGCGGCGGCGGCCGATGCGTTCGGCGCCGTGCACGTTGTCTGTCCAAAGTTGCCGGGCGTGTAGTTGGTGGCCCAGTACAGCTGGGTGAAGAAGATCGCAAAGATGTACATGAGCAGGCACATGAGCAGGCCGATGTTGCGCAACCCCGGCATCGACACGCGCACCGTCGCGATGATGGTCTGCAGCTGCTTGGCGCGCTTCAGCAGCCGGAGCACGCGCACCACGCGAAGGAGCCGCACGACCCGCAGCACGCCGCCGGGGATGGGGAGCTCCGTCTGCATCGACGCGAAGGCGATGTCGACGGCGGTGATGATGACCAGGGAAAAGTCAAAGACGTTCCACGCGTCTTTGAAGTACTGCCGCAGCCCGAGCCCCATCCACTTGAGGAGCATCTCGAGGGAGTAGAGGCCAAAGAAGACGCAGTTCGAGATGAAGCCGAGCCTCCAGAGGCTCTGCAGCGTGCTTGGCGAGTTCGGCTCGTAGATGTCGACCATCATGAAGATGGTGTTGACCACGATCACCGCCATGACGACGAGGTCAAACGCGTCGGAGCAGACGAGCCGGAAGTAGGGCAGCCGCCAGGCCTGCCTCGGCGGGCTCGGCTTCTTGAGCGGCCGCTTGGCGATGATCTCCTTTTGCGCCTTGACCCAGTCGCTCTGCGCGTCGGTCATCATCGCGAGCCCCTCGTTCTCCTGCTGCATGCGGTTGAACGAGTCGAGCACGACGCCGATGACCATGTTGAGCAGCACAAAGCAGCCGAGGACGATCCACAGCACGAACAGGAAGGCGGTCAGCCAGGGCAGCGTGTCGTGCTCCTCCTCCCCGTTGGGCGTCAGCAGCTTGCCGTCCGCCTGCTTTGTCGTCAGCCAGTACGGCGAGACGTACTTCTGCGCCGCGTCGGCCCCCATGACGGCGAACATGACGTCGGGCCACCCCTCGAGCGCCGCCACCTCGAAGAGCAGCAGCATCGCCGTCCCCAGGTTGTCAAAGTTGCCAAAGCTCGGGTTGGTCCACTGCGGGAACTCGGTGAAGAGGCGGTACGTCTCTGCCCAGTCCTCCTTGTCGGTGAGCCGCTCGCCCAGCGAGTCGAACCGAGTGAGGTTGTACTTGGGGAGGGCCATGCACTCGTCGTAGTCGTTCCTCCCGGTGCTGCTAACGTACCCGGGCACCACCCTGTCGGACATGAGCTCGTACGGCTGCCACGCGCCGGTGGCGTACGCGGGGTCGAGGCAGTACCCGAGCCGGCCGCCGAACATTTGCACAAACACGATCGCAAAGAGGACCTGGAAGCCGAGGAACACCACCCCGAACTGCGGCAGCTTGGGGAGCGTCCGGAAGAGCGTCGCCACGACCACGCGCATGCTCTCCAGCCGAGCGACGAGCCGCAGCGGCCGGAGCGCGCGGAAGGCGCGCAGCGCGCGGATGGCGGCTACCTCGCGGAGGCTGGCGGTGCCGAGGCTGACGATGGTGATGCAGACGACGAAGAAGTCGAGCCGGTTCCAGCCGCTGCTGAGGTAGGCCTTGAAGCGCGGGTCGCGCGAGTAGACAAAGCCGAGCGTGACGACCTTGAGCAGGCACTCGAGCATGAACGCGGAGCCGCACACGATGTCCGCGTAGCTGATCGCCTGCTTGAGCCAAAAGTCGCGGTGCCAGCCCGGCCAGTCGAGGCCGATCAGGACGGAGGAGACGATGATGAGCACGAGGATGGCGTGCTCGAACCTCGGGTGCCAGACCAGGCGGGCCGCGCCGCGCCGGATCGGGCTGCGCCACGAGAAGAGAAGCAGCGAGCGGTCGGGCGAGGGGTCGTCAGGCGGTGGCAGGCGCTTGCCGGCCGGCAGCTCGGAGGCCGCCGTGCTCTCTCCCTCCGACTCGAGCGGGCTGCCTGCACGCGCACGGCAAGCGGGGGTCGGGCGCTGGCCGGGGCGGCAGCAGCTTGATGGAGAGGGGCGCGGCGGCACCTTCCACGCGGTACTCGCCAAAGTCGAACGTCATGGCCCGCGGGGTCGAGCTGATTGGTGGCGCGGCGGGACGCTCGCGCGAGTAAACCGCGGCCTCGTCCCCGCCGCCTTGGCTGTCCTCGCCACCACCGCCGCCGCCGCCGCCGTCCCAGTTTTGCGCCATGAGCGTGCAAAACTCGGCAAAGTCCACGCAACCGTCGCCGTCGCCGTCCACCTCGCTGATCATGTCCTGCAGCTCCGCCTCGGTCGGGTCCCGGCCCAGCGAGCGCATCACAGCGCCCAGCTCGGCTGCCGTGACGATGCCGTCGCCATCTTCGTCGTGCAACGCGAACGCCCCTCTGCACTCGGCGAGCCGCTCCTTCGTGAGCGGCTCGCCCTCGATGCCGACGTCTCTGCCACCCGGCGCGACGCTGCCCCCGTCGGCGCGAGCGCACGCGTCGCCCTGTCTGCCCCGCGCTGCACCCTCGCCGCCGTCGCCGCCCGCACCGCGCGCGCGAGCGCCGCTATCGGCTCCCTGGTGGTCGCGGCTGCTGCTCTCGCCGCCCTTTCCGCTCTCGCCCTCGCCCTCGTCCTCGTCCTCGTCCTCGTCCTGCTCCATGTTGACGAGCAGCACGGCGATGAAGAGGTTGAACAGGATGAGGTTTGCGACGACGAAGAGGAGGAGGAAGAAGAAGGTCGGGAAGAAGACGCCGGGGAAGGTCGACTGGTACGTCGCCGCGTGCTGGTCGTAGTAAATCTCGTTCCAGTTCTCGCCCGAGAGGACCACAAAGATCGAGAGCACCGCGCCGAAGAAGGTGTCAAAGTTGCACGCGGGGTAGGGGTCGTCGTCTGCCCAGGTCGTCTTCATCTCGTCGAACGCGCACGGGTAGTTGGTGGAGGTCCAGTTCTGGTTGAACCAGGGCCGCGGGTAGTAGCCGGCGAAGAGCTCCATCCCGAAGAGGGAGAAGATGACCTACGTGCGCCGCGCGCCGCCGCCTCAGGCGGGGGCTGGGGGCAGGGGCGGCGCCGTGGCGGTGGGAGGGCGCACGATGAAGAGCATCAGCAGCAGCAGCAGGTAGACGACTGAGGCGAAGGAGCGGAGCAGCGTCGACACGGTCTTGCGGATGCTGTCGATCGACTTTAGCATCTTGAGCATCCGCAGCACTCGCAGCGCCCGCAGCGCGGACAGGCCGGGTATGTTCGAGTCGAAGACGTTGAGCCACGAGAGCACCTCGAAAGCGAGCTCGACGGACGCGACGACCACCACCAGGAAGTCGAAGGCGTTCCACCCGTCGCGGAAGTAGCGGCGCACGCCAAAGCCGAGGAGCTTGATGACGCACTCGCAGATGAAGACGAGGGTGAAGGCCGAGTTGAGGCCGAACAGGCTCCAGTAGTACGCGGGCCACATGTACCCCGTCGCCGAAGTGCCGCCCGCGCAGTCGACGGGCTCGGCCGGGGAGAACTCCATCATCATCACGACCTATGCGCGCGAGGCGTCGGGTGAGCAGGCCGCGAGGCGCCCCGCGCGCGCGCTCCTCGCCGCCGCCATGTTGACGCAGATGCACGCGATGATGACCCTGTCCAGGCCGCGCGAGGACGCGAGCGCCAGCCACCGACGGCGCCACCTCGGCGTGGTTGGCGGAGCCGCGGCGGGTGCAGCCGCGAGAGTGGGAAGAGGGGCTGCGGCCGCGTCCAAGCCGCCGAGCGGGTCCGCGCCCGCATCCACAGGCGCACCCGGCGCAGCGTCCTCCGCCGGCACCGCGGAGGAGCCGAGCGCCGGCTGGCCACCGCCCTGTGCAGCGGCTGCTTCGGCCAGCTTGGCGCCCGCCTCAGCCATGCGGTTCTCGTCGGCCATGGCAAAGTTGTCGGTGAGGACGACGAGGAAGAGGTTCCTACAGCGAAGCCCAGGCGAGCCTGAGGGGACCGAGAGCGGCCGCGCGCTGCACCGAGGCGGAGGGGTGCATGATGATCATCGCGCCGAAGAGGACGGTGCAGACCTGGCCGAGGGAGTGCGCTTAGGGAGTGAGGGGCGGGCGGCGCCCGGCGGGGAGGGCTTCGCGACGGCAGCGTGGCCGCGCTCGCCTGGAACGCGATGGCGACGCCGGGCATGCCGAGCTCGTTGCCTCCGTCGCAGAGCGAGTACATCACGTCCACCCACCCCTCGAGCGTGATGGACTGGAAGATGGTCACCATCGACCAGCCGATGTTGTCGAAGTGGTTGATGCCCGTGTTCGGGTTGTCGTCCCACGCGCACGCCGCCTCGTCGGCCGCCGAACCCGCGCAGAGGCACTGCTGCCCGGGCATGCACGTCCAGGTCATCTCCCAGCTGTCGTACCCGCGGCCCTTTGTGCGGTTGCCGAGCGAGCCGCACGCGCCGTCGAGCTCGCCGGTGCGGGCGTCCCATTTGCACATGGCGTCGCACACGGCGCCCGTCGCCACCCACTCGCCGCCCTCGAGGTAGAAGCAGCCGTGGCGCAGGTGGCCCTGGAAGAGGTGCAGCCCGAGAATGCCAAAGAAGACGAGCATGAAGACGAGGACGCCAAAGACGCGGCAGAGCTGCGGCATGGACTGGAGGACGGTCTGGACGAGCGCCTTGAGCTTGCGGACCCGGTTGATGGCGCGCAGCGGCCGGAGCGTGCGGAACAGCTTGAGCCACGTCATCGCGACCATCGCGCCAGTCAGGTCGAGCAGCCCCGTCACGACGACTATCATGTCGAGCCAGTTCCACGCGTCGCGGAGGTACGAGCGCCGCTCGAGGACGAAGCCCATCGCGATCATCTTGACCAGCATCTCGAACATGAAGAGCGCGAGGAAGATCACCTCCACGTAGTACAGCTCGTCCGCCTGCCGGTCGTACCGCCGCAGCTCGTCCCAGTAGCCAGGCCCGCCGTGGTTGCCCTCGAGCCAAGGGTCGTCGGGGCCGCAGCCGCCTGGGGTGGTGGCGTTGAGCACGAGCTCGCGGTGCGCCCAGTACTGCCACTTGCTCGCCGCGGGCACGCAGATCAGCAGGAGCGTGTTGATCCCAATGAGCAGCATGATGGTCCGGTCAAACCACGGCGACTGCAGCATCGCGATGCAGTGGCGTCGCACCGGAGCGGCGCGGCCGACGCACCAATATACCACCTGCGCGTAGGGCTGCTGGTCCTCCGCCAAGGAGGCCGTGCGCGCCCGCCGCAGCGCCTCATCAAAGAGGGCTGTGCCCTGCCGCTGGGCTCCCGCCGGCGCCGCCTCGCATGCAGGCGGCCCGTCCACGCACAGCGACTCTGAATCCGAGGTCTGGTCGCTCGGCTCCGACTCGACCGTCGACTGGAGTTCCGCCGTCATCATTGCATCGTTACGCGGGTGGCCAGACGTGAAGTGTCGGCCGCGAGGCGGCTCGCTCGCCAAGGGCGAAACTGAATGTTTTTTGTGCATTCACAGCCTTGTTATTGAGAAGAAAATACGTCCTGTGGTGCCCGCGCTGGCCTCCTGGCGCTGTCGCTCGCAATGACGCGATACGCGCGCTTTTTTTAGTTGTAGGTATGTTGTTGGCAAAGGAAGACACAGAGCTCTCATTTTTTTAGCTCCATTTTACACCGATCGTAAAACCCTGTTTTTTTTAGAAGCCAACAAGAAATGTGGCTCTCTTCTTCTTCGTAAATATAAGAAAAAAAGAAGAAGTTATACGCGCAGAAATAGAGACAGCGCGCACCCCGCCCCCTCCGCGCCTGTGCGTGTTTCAATTCTTAGTGTACCTGTGTTAGTGCCAGTGCGCTTGTCCCGCCCGCTCCGAGTCGTCGTGCGAAAAGAAACTCTGGCGTAACTTACGGCGTCGTGCCTCAGTCAGGAGGAGGAGGGAGAGACGTGCAGGTCGTTCAACTTGACACCATGAAGCCCTCCAGCACTGTGATGGCTGTGGGCCTCTACTGTGCGTGCTCGTCGTCCATGCTCATCGTCAACAAGCTCGCCGTCGCCCACATCCGCGCGCCCGCCTTTGTCACCTTTGCGCAATTCGCGGCCACGGCGTTGGCAGTCAAGGTGGCGCACATGGCCAACTTTATCGAGGTGGACAGCTTTGACTCTCGAAAGCTGATGCACTTTTCCATCTACGTCTTCGGCTTCGCAGCCGGCACGTGGACCAACATGCGGGTGCTGATGACGACCAACGTCGAGACGGTGATCGTCTTTCGCACCATCGCGCCGCTCGCCGTGGCCGTGTTTGACTATGTGTTCCACGGGCGGGACTTGCCCTCCTTGCGCTCGTGCCTCGCGATGGGCATCATCGTGGCGGGCGCCCTCTCGTACGTCCTCAACGACAAGTCCTTTGCGGTGAGCGGGCTGCGCGCCTACGTTTGGGTCGTCGTCTGGCTCTGCTTTCTGATCTTCAACCTGACGTACGGAAAGTACCTCGTGTCGGGGCTCGGCGTGTCGAGCTGGACGGCGGTGCAGTACAACAACACCCTCTCGATGCTCCCCACCCTCCTCTTCGGCCTCCTCGGCGGCGAGGTTGACAAGCTGCAAGCTGTCGAGTGGACGACGCGCGGACTGCTGTGGCTAGCCGCCTCGTGTGTGGTGGGGCTCGGTGCGCCCCTCCCCTGTCTGGGCTCCCAGCAGCACGGCCGGCCCCACGCCCGCGCCCGGCCCGACGCGACGAGCACGACCCGCGCCCAGCCGCTTCAGCCGGCCCCTCCCAGCCCGGACGACGGCCCGCGCCGCGGGCATATGGAAAGTACTCCGATTGATAGGCATCTCATACGCCGGCTTCAAGTGCCAGTCGCTCATCTCGGCGACGAGCTACACCATCATCGGCGCGCCCGATGCGGCCGCGGGCGACGCCCCTCCCCGCCCCGCCCCCCCGCGCCTCACCCCTCCCTCCGCCGCCCCGCCGCCTCCCTCCCCGCCCCGCCGCAGGAGTGCTCAACAAGATGCTCACAGTGCTCGTCAACACGCTGATGTGGGACCAGCACGCATCCGCCGCAGGCATCGCGTCGCTCCTCGTCTGCCTCGCCGGAGGCGCGCTCTACCAGCAGGCGCCGCTCCGCTCCGACGGGCCGGAGCGGTCCGGGCTCCTCAACGCAAAGGAGGAGAGCGACTTGCCTCCTTTTCCGTCGGGGCCGTCGCTGAGCGACAACCTGCACCACCGCTGCGACGTTGACTCCCCGGAGGACTTCTCGGAGTCGGTGCGCTCCGAGGCCGCCCGCGCGTCGCCGCCATCAAGTTAGGAGGCGCGGGGCGGCGGGACATGTCGTCTTGCTGGTGGGCGTGCGGCGGCTGCAGGAACCGGCTGCAGGGATCTGCAGAAATCGGCAAATCACTCGCGTGGTGTGGGGAAGAGTGCCCTCGGGTGTACGTTCGCGTTTGTGGGTGGCGGGCTGGCGCATGTACTCGGTCGCTCGTTATTGCGTGAGTGTTTCGGGCGGGGGGGGGAAAGAAAGGAAGTTGCGTGTGAAGAGGCTTGCGGCCGCGCGCGACACAGGCGCCGGGACCACTCTGTGGACAATGCTCCGCGGACGTGGCCTCGCGCTCCGCTCGTCTCGCGCGCTCTGCGCGGTAGCGGCGCCGGCACCGGCACCGGCAGCGGCGGCGGTTGCCGCGCCAAAGGTCAGCGCACCGGCGGTGGCCGACAAGATTGCGGAGCGGTTCCGCACGAGCAATCGGGGCGATCGCTGGCGGCGGCCGCCGCGCAAGTGGCTCAACCAGATCATCCTCGCAACGGAGGAGCGAGCCGAGGCGGACAGGCTGGTTGAGGCGTTCTCGGCGTACGTGGACGCGCAGGTCTCTATCCGGCGGTGGCAGCAGGTCGGTCTGATCGCCGCGCTCTGCCGCACGCGCAGCTGGGACGCCCTTCTCGATGTGCTGCAGCGGCGGCGGCGACTTCAACTTTTCCTCGAGCAGCCAAAGCCGCTCGCGGCGGCCGTGCGCGCTCTCGCTGACGACGGAGCGTGGGAGCAGCTCGCAGCGCTGTCGCGGCTGCTGCCGTCCGTGCTGGAGCCGTTCGCCCCAGCGCCGGGCGGCGTGCAGCGGCTCGCGCTCCGCCGACTCGCGGCGGGCGCGCCCGACCCCTCGCTCGCGCTCTCGGCGCTGCAGCAAGCGGTCGAGGACCGCGCCCCGCTCAAGCCGGACGTGTTTCTCGCCGTGGGGCGCGCGCTTCTCGCCGCTGGGAGGGCTGCCGATGCCGCCGAGGCGCTGCGCCTTGCGGAAGAGGCGGGCTCGACCGCGGTCGCGGCGGGCGGCGGGAGGATGGTTTGCTCGCCGAAGCCGGGCCGCGCCCTCGAGCTGCTGCAGGCGGACGTGGCGGCGGCGCTTCAGACGGTCGATGCCGAGGCAGCACCAGAGGAGGGGGAGGCGGCCGAGGAGGCGGCAGAGGCGGAGGCTGGCGAGTCCGCGACAGAGGACAAGGCGAAGGCGTAGCCCAAGCCGCTTCGTCCTCGCCCGCCAAAGCGCGTGACCCTCGACAGCAACCATTGTTGTGGGTTTGACCGTCCCCGTCCGGCGTCCGCGGTGAAACGGGCGTTTGACGGGCCCCTCTCCCGCGTCCCGCAAGAGACACCCCCGTCGGCGGGTGTTCGCGCTGTCCGCTAAAAGCGTGACACACTAATCACAATGATCTATGTGTGGAGCGCATGATTGTGTCCGGTGCTCGACTGCGAGCTACAATAAAACCGTGGGAAAATGGATAACGGGCCCACACGCCACCGTTCATCCGTGACCGTGTCGCTTTACTCTCATTCAGTCTTTGAGTCTCCGCTTTTCGATTCCCGCACGACCAGCGCGGGTTGAGTCCGAAACCTCGCGCGCCCCGTCAGATCGCCACCTCATCAGGCACCGTACTCGAGCCACAAGTCTTTGACGTACGACTTGTCAAAGACTTGCGAGCAGCCCGGGCACTTTCGCTCGCGCAAGCTGAGGCGCGAGTCGATGCAGTCGCGGCAAAACGCGTGGCCGCACTTTGTGATGACGGTGTCCTTGTTGCTGTTCTTGCAGAGCGGGCACTTGACCATCGAGCGGTAGTAGTCCAACTGCTCGTTGCTGCCGCCGCGCGGCTCGGCCGCCGCGCCAGCGCCGCTCCGCTCGAGCCGCTTCAGCTTGCGCTCGAGCGTGTCCCGCACCTGCTCCGCCTCCTTGGCCTTCTTCTGCGCCTACGACGCTCACCGCCCGCGGCGCTCAGAGGCCGCCGGCCAGCCGCTGTACCCGCCCCGCCACCCACTCGCGCCTCCGCGGCGTCGCCCGCGCTCTGCCGCTCCCGCTCGCCCGCGCGCCGCGCACGGTCCGCCTCGGCCTGCAGCGCGGCGCTCGCCTGCTGCGCCTCGCGCGACGCCTCGAGCGCCTGCGCCTGCGCGCGATCGAGCGACGCCGCCGCGTGCCGCTGCGCCTCCTCCTGCTTGGAGGCCGTGTCCCGCGCCGTCCGCAGCTCCTTCTCGAGCGCCGCCTTGTGCTCCGCGTCGCGCTCGACCAGCCGCTCCGCCGCAGCGGTCCGCTCGCGCAGCGCCTCGAGCTCTGCCGTCAGCAGGCTGGTCGAACGGTCATGCCGCAGCCGGTCCTGCATCAGCCGCGTCGCGGCCTCCTCCTTGAGCTCCACCTACGGGCGGCGTGACGCGCGGTCTCCAGCCGCCTCGCCTCTCCCCTCCCCGACGCCGCTCCCGCACGCGCCGTCTTGAGCAGCTTGGCATTCTGCTCCTGCGACTCGTCAAACGCCTTTGCGATCGAGTCGAGCTCCTCGACGAGCGCGTCGTTCTCCGTCTGCAGCTTGGACAGCTCCTCGCTCGACTGGAGCGCGGCCGCCTCGGCGCCGCCGAGCCGCACCAGCGCGTCCTGGTGCTTGGCCTCCGCTGCCGTCGGGTCAGCGGCCGGCGCCTGCGAGAGGCGCAGCTCGAGCGCATGCACCCTCTGCCGCAGCGTCTCCTTCTCGGCGAGGGCGCCGTCGCGCGCGCCGCTCAGCTCGGCGAGGCGCGCTCGCTCGCGGCTGGCCTCGTTCTTGAGGCGCACCTGCGTCCCCGAGCGGCCAGTCAGGCTCAGCCAGCTCTGGTGCATGCCGCCGCGTGCTTCCGTGGACAGGCGCGGGTGCGGGGGTGTGCGGCGCACCGCTTCCTGTCGCCAGAGGTTGAGCAGGCGCTCCGACTCGGAGAGCCGCTCCTCGAAGCCGCGGTGAGTGAGCGCCTGCTGCTGCAGCTTGTGCGCCGCCGCGTCGCGTCCGGCCGTGGCCTGCGCGAGGGCCTTGGACAGGTTCTCGACCTCGCCGCGCGTCTCCTCGTAAAGCCTGCTGCGGACATCCTCGAGCCGCGCGAGCTCCGCGAGGTGCCTCTGCTGGAGGACGGCCATGTCGGCGCGCAGCCGCTCGTTCGCCTGCATGTACTGCTTGCCGCGCTCCCCGATCTCGAGCATGTGCCTCCATTGAGGCATGGCGCGCATCTGCTCCTCGGTCGGCGGCCTCCGCCTCGCCTCGTCCAAGTCGCCGCGCAGCCGCTGCACGTCCTGCTGCGCGCCGATGAGCTCACGCCGCGCGCTCTCCGCCAGCTTCTCAAAGGCGGCGCGCTCCTCGTTCGCCGCCTCCGCCTCTGAGCGCAGTCTCTCCATCTCGGCGCTCGAGGCGGCGGCGACCGCCGCCGCCGTCGCCGAGTCGGCGTCGCTACTCGACGCCGCGGCGGCGGCCTCGGGGGCGGCCGCCGCGGAGGCGCCGCCGCCGCCTCCGGCGGCCTTCAGATTACTCACCTCCGCGTTCAGCTTCTCGAGCGACTTGGTCTTTTGCTCGAGCTCCGAGTGTGCGCCCGCGAGCCGCGCAGCGGTGTCGTCGCGCTCGCGCTGCAGCAGCAGCGCTCGGTCCTTGGCCACGGCGAGCTCGGCGACGACCGCGCTGGTCTCAGGCGGCACGCTCGCAGCCGCGTCACCCGCGCCACTCCCGGAAGCCGCCGCCTCGGCCAGCTCCGCCGTCAGCTCGCACCGCCGGCGCGTTGCGTCGTCCAGGTCAGCTGCGGGCGCGCCGCTGTCGAGGCTCTCGAGCAGCGTCTGCCTCGGGAGGGCCGCGGAGGAGGAGGCGTCTCCACCCGCGGCGAGCCGCGGCTTCGCCGCACCCAGCCGCAGCTCCAGCTGCGCCCAGTGCCGGTCGAGCACGCTCAGTGCCGTCTCTCTCTGCGCGAGCCTGCTCTGCAGCTGCCGCAACTGCCCGGCGGTGTCGTCCAGCTCGCGCTGCAGGTTGGCCTTGGCGCTCGCGAGGTTGGCGTTCTGCTTCTTCAGCAGCTTCTCAGTCATGCTGCCGTGGGCCGTGGCGGACGACGCGCCCTGCTGCGCCTGGCCGAAACAGAGGAGGGGAGAGACTCGGCCGGCGGGCGTGGCGAGGCTGGTGGGATGCGCGCGCGCGGCGTACCTGAATCATCGCCTTTTTGGGCGGCGCCGCAGGCGCGTCTCCTCCACTGTGGGAGCGTTTCATCGCCTGCAGGCAGGCTAGCTCATCTGTAAACGCTGCGACGCCAGCTGTGCGACGCTATGCCTGGGAAAAGAAATCGCCCGCCCTGGCTTTTGAGGAGCTCGCCCGCTCACTGATCAGGCCAGCCGCTGCGCGCCTTGTTTCTCTGATCTCGCTTCTCTCAAGATGGGCGTACGGACGCTCAGCGAAGCCATCACCACGGGCTCAGCAAAATCTTCGACACGAGCAGATTGAGAATGCGCACCGCAAAGGGATGCCAGAAGGTCTGAGGGACTGGGAGAGAGGCGGTCTCCTAGAGGCGATTGCTCACTATAGATCGCAGCTAGAGGCGGTGGTCTTCGTGTGGGTGCCATCGCACGTGGGAATAGCCTGCAACGCATACGCCGACGCGGTGGCGACAGCATACCTGGGAAATAACGACACGGAGGACGCCTCGAAGGTGATTCGGGACGCGGTACGAACTCGGCCGTGCATGTACACAGTGAGAAGGGAGGCGGCAGACCGGCAGAGGACACGGAGAAGAGGGAGATAGTGGACCGACGGACATACGGGCACATACCACATACGCCAGAGAGCGCACACGAGTGGGTTGCGAACAACTTCGAAAGACGGTGAGGCCGGGATCGCACACAGCAGGGATGGCGGGACGGCTGTGGAGCGAAGGGAAGTGGCCGTAGCCAGCCTCAAACACCCATGGGACAATAAGATGAGATTGCCAGATGGGGGAAGTGGGGGAAGGACAGACGAGCGACATTTGACGACGTCGGGGGTCACAATGTGACGACCAAAACGATCCTGGGAGCCAGGGTGAGACAACAGGTCGGGGTGCCACACGGTGCACACCACAGGCGCATTCTAGAGGGGGGAAAGAAACGGGGAATGAGGGGCCCCGCCACGAGGAGTGCGTTTTGGGGATGCAGAGCGTGCAAGGCGGCTAGGGATGCGGCCGCAAAAGAGGCGCGTGAGGCAAGGAGGAGAATCGGAGAACGGAGAGACTGGGACGACTGGACACAAGAAGACAGTGAGCCGCCACAGGCGTCGTTGGCGCACGTACTGAGTGGCAGCTGCGCTGAAAGATTCTTTTTCCTTCGCGGCGCGATGGCGGCAAGGCCTCTTTGCGCGCCCACCCTCGTCACGCAGAAGACCAACGGGCGTCGGACCGCGGTGAGACCGCGCCGCCCTCCGCGCCCGCCCGCGCCCGCAGCGTGAACACATACGCGCGTCCCTCGCCGCACGGAAACATACGCGCCAGCCGCGCACACAGCCTCACATGCAGCGCAGACCGCATGCCCGCGCCCTGGGCCGCCGACGACCCGGTCGGGCGGGCTGAGCGGCCGCCGCACACCAACAGGCAGGCGCGCGACCACCCACAGCACGCCGCAGCCCGCCGCGCAGCCCTGCCAGACAAGCCTGCGCCTCCCAGCGCACAAACAGGCGCACAACAGAGTACAGCACACAGCACACACCGGCGGCGCGCGCGCGCAGCACACGCAGACGCGCACGCGCATCCAACACGCACACGCGCACAGCACGCGCGCGTCACACGCCAGCGCAGCGCCACACACAGAGCACACTTCCCATCAGCAGCAGCAGCCTGCCACAATCCACAGCTCACACACGCGCGCACACACTCCCCCCTACCGGCGCACGCATTGGGCGTCGCCGAGAGCTCCCAAAGCTGACTTGTGTGGCTGCTTGTGCTGCCTGCTCATGAGCAGGCAGCTGGGGAGATTGAGAAGCAACATTAGACACTG